CTGGGAAAGCTGTTCACAAAACTTGATCAAAGCTTCTGTTCCAGCCTGGACACCAAATTCTTGAAGGGTTCCTTCAGTTTGAACCAAATGAATTGAACAGCTATTAGGTAGTCAACAGAATGTAACATTTCTTTTCAAGAGAGCAGAGCAGAGGAAATATGGTAAAATAACAATTGTTAGTCTTCACAAATACCACGTAGATTGAAGAAAAGCACAGTGAGAAAAATACTCTGTATGGTAAAGGGTGGTTTTGCTTGGGAATAGAAATTGAAAGATTTCTAGTCACCAGAGAACTGAATCATATTATTCATCTGACAGTAGGAGTAAGAGCAAGATTCTACTTTTTACTAAGTCAGATGCCTGTCTAGCTGTGGTTGTAGTTATATTCACTGCAGAAGTATCGAACTTACTGACAAAGACATCTGACTCAGTTTTATGTCTTTGAATCATGTTTAATGTTGAACTAATCTCTTATTTTACTGTATATGCTTATTTGCTTCTAATGCTTATGACATCTGCTGTTGAGCTTACCCTACATCACTTCAATTATTTGTTATCATTTCTAATATTGTCATTTACTTTACTTTCATCTTCACAGTCATCCCAGGACTCAAGTATTACTCTTGACTATGCCTTTGCTTTTATCAGGACCCTGGTAACATATGATGAACGTATTCAGTATTCAAAGAGACATGAGGAAGAAAAGCAAAACTTGCTCTTTTTTCTCTGTCAAGATTGAAACCTGGGAAAAAGCCTGAAAAAGCAATCACTGCATAATGAACAATCATTGTATCTCTTCAATAGAATACGACATAAAACATTTCCAAATGAACGATTCTTGTTCATGCTCCATGTAATTTCAGAGAATCACAATTGATAACTGTGGAATTAGATATTTTGCATAATTTTGTGTGAGGGAAAAAAAACAAAAACAACTGATATTCTATTTGCAGTATTTTATCAAATGATCAGCTACAACAGCATCTCTGTTATGCTGTTCTTCAATTCTGATTTTTGCAACATCTTCATGTATTGAAAAGAAAGGGATTCTATATGTTAGAATGAGCAGAATTCAGTCCATATTCACAGCACTTAAAGATGACTTAGAGTTAACAACTGCAAACATAATCACATTCAGCATCAACTTAGGCAAATTAATCACAAGTATATTGCTGATAAATTTAAATAGCATTATTTCAAATTCATTGTCAAATTTGTGACCTGAAATCCCAAAGATGAAGGTAGTATATTGTTTTTAGTGACATATGCTGTAGATTAAGGTCTTTACTACAAGACTCCTCAGTAATAATCGTTTCAGCAGCAGGAGGTGCTGGTACATTATGATCCCAGTAAGATAGGCACTTGGACTGTGAGGTATCATTTAAAATGCTGTTTATCAGAATTCCTATGAGGAGGAAATCAAGTAATCCTATTCCTTTCAGATGGTAGAAACCCAGTGCAACATCAAATGGGCCTTAAATCTATGCAAGCAGTCTGGACAGATCCTGTCCATGCAAGAGATATCCCCAGTTTCCATCATTGGAGCTATTGACAGGATTTTCTAACAAGAAAAAAAAAAGAAAAACAACCCACCACTTTTCTGGTGTCAAACAAAAAGGATGATATGTGCAGAGGCCTGGCCAGAGGCTCACCTTCTCTGTTTTGTGGATCTCTAACTCCTCAATGTGCAGTGGTCTTCTACTCAGCACATCAATGCAACAAAACATAAATTACTTTAAAATTCTGGAAGTGTAGCAATCAATATGAAACATTTCTTCCTACAGAATCAGGTAATCTCCTAATTAAGAAGTTGTTTTCAGGTACCTAGGAAAGTTGTCCTGAAATTAAAAAAAATACATCACATTTTAGATGCTGATAGATGTACATAAGCTGATGATATGATAGATACTTTCAATCAGAGGGTGGTGATGCACTGGAACAGGTTGCCCAGAGAGGTTGTGGATGCCACATCCCTGGAGGCACTCAAGGTAAGGCTGGATGTAGCTCTGGGCAGCCTGGTCTAGTGGCTGGCAACCCTGCCCACAGCAGGGATCCTTTTCAACCCAGGCCTCTCTATGATTCTATAATATTTTAAATAGCTGATATGAACCAAGCAGATGTGCCAAAATGATCATCTAACTACAGGAGCGATCACCTAAAAACTTACAGCTAACAAATAGTTGCAATAAGTCACATATAAGCAATTACGTAGAGTAGTGGGTTTGTGTATGATTGTGTCCAGTATTGCTCACTGTGAAGACAGATTCAGATTCTAGGGAAATTCTGCTGACTGTGTTAGCAAATGGGGTGAAATCAAAATAAAGTAGGAACAATTTTCTTTATTGTCAGAATTCTCGTGGATGCCGTTCTGATTCTTTTTCTACAGAAAGCTTTTGTTAACATTCTGCTAACTCCGATATATGCAGGATGCTCTGAAGTAATGCCTCCTGCTTATTTATGTGGAAGCTACAACACACATAAAAAGGATAATAGCAATAGTTGAGAGAGCAAATTGTCAGCTACAAAACACTATTTTTTGACATTGTCCCCACCATTAGCTATGCATTTTAGTCAGCAATGAACCAGACCCTGCATGCGCTCACCAAAATCTGCACCAATGGAGGTGATGCACCATTACCATTGCCACTGCTGGAAATGTAGCTGTCACTGTGTTCACATCCATTGGCTGGTCTCCATATGATCACCAAGCATTAGTGTATGTCAGTGGGTGCTGTTTTTTCCTACATGGAAGAATTCAGTGACCCCCCTTAGCTTCATATGCACTTGTATATCAGACACCATTTGGCAGATTGCCCCTCTGTTGCCGTTTATTGCACAGCAAAAAAATGTAATGGACTACTGGTGGGGTGGTTCAACCTCTACATACCTCTGATGTTGTGGGCCAACATAATAAAATGAAGACTTTTACTTTTGGAGCAGCCCTTGTATATCAAAAAGAAGCCCTCACTCTTTGCCAGGAATTCTAGCTAAGAACTTGTTTCTGTGCGCTAGGCATTGAACTGGTACCCATCAATGGGCTGTGGAATGATTAATCTCAGTATTTTTAAATTATTTTCTGTTTCAGCTGAGTGTTTTGTCTTACTAGTAAGCAAGTGTTGTTTGTACCAGATGTTTCTGAGTAATACACAGAGGGTTCCTTATGGAATACCCTCTTCACAGAGTACATTTCTTTCTAGCATCTGTTTGTGGTTGATTGGGATATGCTATAAGGTATGAGTCTTTAATTTGGCTTTATTGTACTTTATCTTACCTAAGGTAACATAAAATGTTATCTTTACTCCTAGAAATGCCTCCTTTCTCATAAAGTTTTATGGGTAAAGTACATAAAAATGGGTATAGTGTGTCAGACCAAAGGTTTCTTTAGGTAAATAGTGAACATACACAGGACTCAGTAAGATAACAGCATGTATTTTATGATACTTCTTTACCTGCACCAGGTAGAGTAAAGCTTTGCTTTAATAAAGCTGTATTTCATTGAAGCTGTGGTTATCCTACAGGCTTATGAAATGTATTTATGCTTTTTTCCAGCAATGCCTTACACTTGCTTTTCTAAATGCTGCTGAGCGCTAGACTGGTATTTTGATAGAACTAGTTTAACCTCAGGGTCTCTGAGGAGGTTATGTTTTCCCTATCTTTGGTGCATACCATCTCTTTGGCATTCCTAAAATGTTACACATTTCTTCCCTAAGTGTATAAAAAGAAGATAGGAAATGTGCCTAACTTGCAAATGTTATGTAAGAGTATTATGTAAGAAATTAAAATAGTGTTGTCTCTGAGTTTCTATAATTGATGCTGTCACAACTTGAAGTGCATGAGATACTGTATTAGTACCCTGTCTTTCTATCTAGTGAGGTTTTCCAGTGGGGAGAAGTAAATCACAGAGTAATATAAAAGCAAGCACCTTATTCTAGGAAATAGACCTTTAATATAGTTGTGATGCTTAAAAAGGTTACAGCTGCATTTGGCCAGAAGGACAGATTTTTTTGTTAATTACTGTAAGAAGTAAACAAGTATTCAAGTCTTCTCAACAGTCACTGAGATTTGAATACTGGTTATGCTTTGAAAACGGTGCATGTTGAGAGGGTGTTGAGAAAGTCTGTTCTGTTTTTCTTTTAAACTATGGTGAAGTACAGAGAACACTTCAGTAGTGGATCTAGCTGAACACAGTAAGGACTGATATTTCATTCATAGTAATCAACAATTTTTCAGATTCATTTGCTATATTCTTTGCTGCCTCTTCTAAAAGACCAAAACATGAACTTTTTGATTTACTACTGCAGAGCCATGAAGAACCATCGCACTTGAAATAAACACATCCCATTTTGAACAACTACCAGGTTTCTTCAGCAAAGCCAGTTGTTTATGTAAAGTATTTCTTGAATTAAGTACAATTATTGCTTTTTCAGGCTTTTAGCCCACTATAGGTTTATTTAAACCAGTACTTCCCCTCCAAGTATTTGTGGGAGCTCACAGAAGTGAAGGTGGAAAAGATAACATACAGTTTTTTTTTTAAGTACTGAAATCAGTGAATGAGCCGTAAGCTGTTGTTATTTTCCTGTTCCCATTGAAACAGCACATCTGACATCAAGCTGAATAAAATGGATATAAAATTTAAAAAAAAAAAAAAAACAACAGATTGATATTAGGAGATAAAGCATAACTTTTATAAATGTTAACATTCTTCTTGCATTTGTGTTTACATTTGCTATTTAACTATTACTTCTAGGTAACTTAGAAATAAAGCCTCTTAGGAATAGAAGAACAGTCATTCCGTACATTAAATAATTTGGTTAGCAGTGTTACTAAAGCAGTCCCTGCAGCGTAAAAGAAAAGAGTACAAGGATGTTTGTATGAGTGATTTAAATACTCCTCAGTTAAGTATTTAATATGATGTCTAAAATGAAATGCACATGCTTTACTGTTCTTTTCTTAATCCTCAGTGTCCAGACCAGTCATGTAAACAGGATTTGTTGGCTTACCTAGAACAGATCAAGCTGTACTCCCATCAGCTCAAAATCTGCAGTCAAGTTAAAGCAGAAATCCAGAATCTAGGTGGAGAGCTCATCATGTCTGCTGTAAGTAGAAAAATGGCATGAATTACAGTCAATACAAACTAAAATATCTTCACTTGACATTGTCCTTTCCTGTGCTCATGATATGTTCTAGCATAGATCTGAATGTCTTTTGTTCTCTACCTTTTTCTTTAACTCTTACTTTAGGCAGACTATAAGAAAGTGAAGCATGAATTGCAATTGCGGATGTTTTTCTTTTTAGATTCTTAAAAACAGCAAAAAAAATTTTTGCTGTTACTCCAGATTAGCTAGTTTTTTAAGAAACAATAGTCTTTTAATATATATCAAGTACACACAGCTGTATGGATGTATGCACAACAACTGATCCTCATAGTCGTACTTCCAGTTGAGAACAAAATGCTGAAGGCCAATGGTGTCCTGGCTTGTATCAGAAATAGCGCAGGCAGCAGGAGCAGGGAGGTGATCATCCCTCTGTACTCAGGTCTGCTGAGGCTGCATTTAGAGAGCTGTGTTTTCCTTGGGGCCCCTCACTGTGAGAAAGACATGGAGGCCCTGGAGCGTGTCCAGAGCGGGGCAACAAAGCTGGTGAGGGGTCTGGAGCACAGGCCTTATGAGGAGTTGCTGAAGAAGCTGGGATTGTTCAGCCTGGAGAAGAAGAGGCTCAGGGGAGACCTCATTGCTTGCTATAACTACCTGAAGGGAGGTTGTAGTGAGCTGGGGGTCAGCCTCTTCTCTTGTGTAACTGGTGATAGGACTAGAGGGAATGGCTTCAAGCTGCGCCAGGGGAGATTGAGGCTGGACGTTAGGAAATACTACTTTTCTAAAAGAGTGGTCAGGCACTGGAGTGGGCTGCCCTGGAAGGTGGTGGAGTCACCGACCCTGGGGGTGTTCAAGGAATGCTTGGACGTTGTGTTCAGGGACATGGTTTAGTGAGAACTATTGGTGATAGGTGGATGGTTGGACTGGATGATCGTATGTTTTCCAGCTTCGGTGATTCTGTGATACACAGAATGGTAGAAAAAAGCAAGTACTTACGATGCCTCTATCAGCCAATGAAAAACGGGATTCTCATGGCTTTGCCTGCTGATCTAGAAAGCAACAGCGTAAAGACAGACAAAATTCCGCTATTTTTCTTAAACAGCATCACAGCTATTACGTTGAACTGCTAAGCCTACTAGCACGGCTAGGCAGCCCCCAAATACATTTAAACTATTGTCATACAAAGATTACATAATTATTATAAACTGGAAATCCTTTCTAAAAATCTTGTGTGCTGCACCAAGGCCATGCCAAATTTTAGATGTTTTCACAGATATGTGCAATTAGTCCTCTTAGCATTTTAACCTCCTGTGACAAAAGAATATGGCTTTGGTTTTTTCCTAGCATTTCTGGAGGAAGGTACAGTATTAACTAGAGATCTTTCTGTTCAGATTTAATTCCAAAAATGCAAATCCAATCGTTTCCCGAGTTATTGCTGTTTTTTGCCTTACATGCATTCCTGCATATAAAGTGTTACAAAAACAACTGTACAGAGACAGTAACACATTCCCCTCACCTCATCAATTCACTCACAAATTCACTTGCCCTGGCTAAGGGGAGACCACCTTCGCTAACACATCAGTTTGCAAATCTGCATACTGCAAAAGTGTTTGGAATGCTGCGTGATCAAACTGAAGATCATTCTCCCATTAAGGTCCTCAATTGCTGTTACAGAAGAGGGAAAAATGTTTCAAAACAGGACACACAAAGTTGAAATAACACTTTCAATTATCTCCAAACTGTAATGAGCTTCATCAGTGGTATATGCACAAGTGCAAAATTTAATAAACAATTGCTGTGTGCATGTACACAAAGTATTTCTGTACACACCTTTACACATATAAATGCATGTGCAAGAAGTAGAAAGCACAACATCTCTCCTTTGAGAGATGCAAACTGATGCAAATTTTGCATGATTTTTTCATTGCTTTTCTTCCTTACTTTGGCAAGAACATCATAAAATGGTGGGTTGCTCAGGTGGACGTTATTTTACAGCAATATTCCCTTGCATTTTGTTGCCATGTGGCATATGACAGCAGAGGGGCAGACTGACACAATAGCATCTGCAGCAAAGGTGTGTAATTAAATTCTTCCGTGTGGAAAAAATGGTGCCCGTTGACATTCATTGACACTTACTGAATGTTTATAGAGACCAACCAGCGGGTACAAGCACAGTGTGGCAGTGGGTGGTGTGTTTCAGCAGTGGTGACAGCAGTGTGAAAGACAAGTCGCATTCTGGACAGCCACGTACAGCTGTCACACCACAAAATGCAGAGTGTCTCGATCAGCTCATCTGCTCCAATCAGCTACTGCTGGTGACTATGTTGAGAAGCAGTGTTTTTTGTACCTGAGCATTTGCTCTATCAAACAGCTTTGTTATGGTACTTGCATCTGTTGTAGTTTTCCTGGAAATGACTAAGAGGCATTACCTTTGGAGCAACCTCTGTATTTACAACACATATAAGCAATAAATGTTAATCAATGAGATTTAAATAAATAGTAACTATTTCTCAAGGGCTTTCTTCAAGCTATTCAAAATGGAGATTCCTTTACAATCGAAATTGTCAGCCTTATAATTTAATACAGAGTGGTATCTTTAAATAAAAAGCTACTAGCTAAGGTGATTTATACCATATATATGTACCTCTACCATTTCCTGGGAACACTATCAAAATACAAACAGTACTGTAAAGTAAAAGGGAAAGACAGCATTCATTATAAACATTTAAATTGTAAACAAATGTGAGTCCTGTGCTTAACATGAATTATGGCATTATTTAGCTATGTCAAGAAAAACAAACCAAAAGAAAAAAAAAACCAACACCTTCCCAAAGAGTCAAAACACAGCCTACTTTCTTCCTGTTTGAGTGCAATGGATGTGTATATACCTTTTCAGTGCACAAGGGTGGCACACAGTGGCCTAACATTGGGCACAGTTGCAACAAACAGACAAAGCAATCCTCTGCAGCTGGATTTTAAGACCAGGAGACATAGTCAGACAGCTGCACTCATCAGTTCCTCTCCCTCTGTGATCTTAGCCCTATTCTGGTAGGAGGTCCCTGAGCCTTATCAGTCTGTATTCAAAAAACATGCAAAATGAGAAGGTAACCACCTCATTTTCGAATGTTTTAAGTAACACTGATGGCCAATTATACAATCAATTCTTCTGCCAGTGTTGGCCTATAGTAAAATCCTTGCTCTTACTCTTGGCTTTTATCAAGACACAGCCCTCAGCGTAGGCTCCTCCCATCATAACAGCAACTTTTCTGCATACATCCTGCTAGACATCACCATCTAAAGTGTGTCAGACCCGAATTGTGCTTTCTGACTGTTGTGATTTAACCCAGAAGATGGCTGAGCACCACACAGTTGTTTGCTCACTACCCCCTATTCCCAGTGGGACAGGGGAAAGAATAAAAACAAAAAAATAACAAAGTAGAACTCATGGATTGAGATATTTACCAAGATGAAGTAAAGTAAAATAATTACTACTATAAATATATGTAGCAAATGATGCACAAATAATTGCTCACCACTCCTGACTGATGCTTAGCTAGTACCCCAAACAGTGGAAGAGAGAGGTTAACTCCCACCCTCTCCAGAACTCCTTTCTATGGTACAGAATATCCCTTTGGCCGGTTTAAGGCACCTGTCCATACTCTGTTCCCTCCTAACTCTTTCTGCCCATCACTGAGAATGAGTTTGGCTCTCTACAGTGCTGCTTAGCAGCAGCTATAAACATCAGTGTGTTATAAGCATTGTTTTTCTCCTAGAACCAAAACATAGCATCATACCAGACACTTTGAAGAAAACAATTCCATCCAGCTGAAACTAAGACACAAGAGTTTGAGAAGGTTCATTGTGGGAGGGGGTTATGTCAGAATAAAATGCCTGTACTCAGCACATGCCATAGGTCTGTGTTGGCCTTTCATACAACTGTACTGCGCAACACTAATACGTCAGCATCAGTCCAGGCTACCAAAGTCACTGGGACTAAGGAGAGAACTAAGAAAGTAAAGTGGCCCAGCACTGTCTGCTTTCAGTCCCTACACACCATGCAAGCCTTAGGTGAGAAGAGAACAGTATGTTCAGATTTTGTATTCCCCTACAGAGCAGCACTGCAAAGATAACATAGTAATTAAAACTGTCTTTTTTTTTTTTTCCCCCCCTCTACAGTCAGTCAATTTTCAGTTGGAATCAAGATATACTACTTTTTATTTCCAGAAATATCTATGGAGAATACCTTTAACACTTGCTTGGCTGTGTAGCGTGCTGTTGAATACAGTGATATGTGATACAGAGGTTTGTCTTGCATTCTGCCTCTCAAGGTTCTCATTCCTGGGGGGAAAAAAAAAAAAAAAAAAAAAAACACACAATCACTGCAGTTTGTGTGCACTAGCCCACATTTACTAGCTTTAAAAATTTTGGTCATTGAGACTACATTCAGCAGCTACTAATTCAGCCACTTCACAGCATCCCTGCAATGCACAGAAGCACAAAAGAAAGACTGGAATGTGATGGGAGCAGCTGGAGAATTTACCTAGTGCTGATGCAAAGAAAATAATAGGTAACATTTTTATAGCTCTTCTTTGAGGTGTTTTCATTACCCATCAGTAGTAATTGCAGTGAAACCCTGCAGATAAGAATCATGAATTCTCACTTCTTAGACAAAGGCAAGCAACAAACAGCCGTTACACTTTACCAGCCCAGAGTCCTGTGTATCACTTTAATACTGATCAATGAAACATGAATATAATGATCAAGCACACCAAGAGAAAACAAAGAAATTATGCTTTACTATATTAGTCTTAGGTTTTAACTGTTGTTTAATCCTGAGGATATTGCGGTTAAAAGCAGACCTGCTTTCCTAGGCTTATGTTTCTGTTTCTTACTACAGTTGGATAGTGTCACCTCACTAATTCAGGCTGCCAAAAATTTAATGAACGCTGTGGTGCAGACAGTGAAGATGTCCTACATTGCATCCACAAAGATTATCAAGATCCAGAGTCCTACTGGCCCGCGACATCCTGTTGTGATGTGGAGAATGAAAGCTCCAGAGAAGAAGCCCCTAATTAAAAGAGAGAAGCCAGAAGAAATCTATGCTGCTGTCAGAAAAGGTTCTGCAAAGAAGAGAATCCATCCTGTTCAAGTCATGAGTGAATTCAGAGAGAATTCAGAAATAGTCTAATGTTCTGTCACTTTTTATGCTCCTCTCTTAAAATTCTGATGATTTTTCACTTTTCCCCCTACTTATTTAATAACCGTATGTTAGTGTTTTGCTTTTCTATAAATCTGTAACTTCACATTTGCTTAAATTACTTGAAAATGACATTGGATTATTTAACTGCACAGAGATGAAAAGTACTCGTTTTGCAGTGTCAAACTATCATGCCTTCATACTGACAGGTTTCAGCAGAGCACTTCTGAGCAATACGCCATGGCACTGTGTCACAGGCAGTGAAAAGCAGAATGCAGGGTGTCAAACTGTGCCCCACCTCCTTCTGCATTTGCTAGTCAAGTGTTCCTTCACCACTGATACTAAACTGCATGTAGTTTAGGACATACAGGATTTTTAAGCACTGTGTTTGTTGCTACAGATACTTAATCGGGATCATTACACTGATCAAAACAGCTGGACTGCCTGATGCTAGCTGAGGGTCTGGGCTCTTAGCTTTAATCTAGATTGAAAGACCTGAAAATCAACCACCTCCAAGGCCTATCAAAATAGGGATGGATATCTAAGTTTGAAAATTTTTGATGAAACAGTGTTATAACAACATGGATCTAAGAATGTAATAAAAAAAACACAGTGACTGCTATATAGAAATAATAGCTCTTTAAAAGGCTTTAATTAATTAATGAGTGTTCTGCTTCCTAGTGTACTCGCAAGCCCTACAACATCCCACTGATAGACTATTCTAGTAACAATAGACAATTTTCTAATCACAGAGCAAAAGAACAAATATGGAACAGATCATTATTCTGATATTGGTGTGTAAAAAGTTACACGTGCATCTTGAATCTGAACAATGCAATGACTTTGCTTATGACAGTTTTATCTGAAAGGCAGGGCTGTTCTGTCTAGCAACTTGTTAAATGACTATGCTATATTTCAACATATGTAACAAAGTGCTTTTAGTCTGTGTTTACCGCCAGGCCTCCATATAGTACCTTTGAAAATAGTGGTTTTTCTACATCTGTTTCAATCCAAAATCCACTTGGATTGATTTTTTTAAAAGAAGCAAACTTGTCTTGCCTGCCCTGTCTCTGTTCTCCCAGACTTCACTCCTTACTCGTCTTTTCTTTGCAAGTAGATCCTTTTTTTGCTACGACTTTTGTATTATCTCAGGAAAAAGGGCTCTATCAAATGCCAGAGCATATCAACCATTCAGGGCAGTACAGCATCATAGTTTCTAGGTTGTTGATTAACAAACCCCAACAAAACCTGTAGTGATCATTCATTAGAGATTTTAAACAACAGGATTCCACTTTCACCAAAATTACATTTTGTCAAATAGAATAAAATTAAGGAAGGAATTTGGGAAAAAAAAAAAAAACAACAAACCAAACTTATTTTACAACACAGATCTCCTCCAATATGGTCACATCAAGGTCTTAGTCACATATATAGGTTTTTGTTTGTTAGTCTCTTAAGAACACGGAGTGAGAAGCAGCAAACAGTTAAGTGCAGCAGGGAAAGGCAATATAGCCAGTTATTCAATCTACTTTCAGTAGGTCTGCTGGCAGACTAATAAGAGCTGAGATAAAGATTTTGTGTGGTATATTGCACAGAAGAGTATACATTTTTATTGCATCTTGAAGTCAGTATCTCCAAGTATTATCTCAGGTTGTTGCTGACCCCCTTAGACTACATGGTCCTCCAGCAACGCTGAGGTTCAAAAGGCAAGAGTTAATTAACAAATTCTGTTTTGTTAGGAGTGTTACTCTTAAAGAATCTTCATGACTGTGGGATGCTTTTGGTATCAGTCACCTTAACATCTGATATTTGCAACAAATGTCTCGTTTTCACATTATTAATAAAAAGCATGCACACCACTGAGGAGGCTTGTCTTTCAGTATTGTGGGTTTTGTTTGGATATGTGTCTCCTTGCTAGTCTGGGTGTAGCAAATATCCTTTTTAAAAGCCAGGCTTGCTCCTTCCTATAAGCAGGGAGTACCTGCTTGTCCAGCACATTGTGTGTGCTTTTACTAGCCTGCTTTACATTAGAGCTTTTCCTAGCATTCTTATCGCTAAAGCACAGTTTATTGCTTAATGCAGTGTACTTTACTGCAATACCAGTCACTTTTCTCGTAGCCTGGCCATTCTCAATAACCAATTTAATCTCAGCTTTTGAGACCATTCCTATTACATGGAACTTCATTACTTCATTAAGGGAGAAAAAAAGAAAATAAAACAAAAAGCAACCCACCTCTCAGAAAGAACAAAGAAATCAAGAGCCACAGCTGCCTTCCAAGAAGAGCCATAAGAACGATGGGTTAGTTATATCTGGACATAAATTTCTTGGCTGAAGTTCAAATGAAAACATAACAAGGTAAAGTTTATTCTTAGCTAAGGTGGTAGAGGGAGAAGAAACAAGTCCTGGAGTTGTAAAATGTTCATTGTATTAGCTCACTACCTCCCCCAGCAAACCTGCAAAGCACCACCTCTCTGCCACTGTTAATAATGCTGATGGGCGATGAGCTGCTCAATACGTTTTACTCAGTTTGTCCCAATTACTCCGTTATCACCTGGAGTTAGTGAGCCATTCCTGCTAAGTTAACACAAGTCCTCTAGTACCTCAGCACCTCAAATAAATGGAAAAACCACCTCCCTGCATCTCTGTCCACCCCTAGAGCCTTGCTCTTCTGTAGAAAAACACTGTTCTGAAATTACTAATTGACTTTGGTTTCAGAAGGGAAAGGGGGGGGGGGGCGCGGGGGGGGGGGAGGGGGAAGTGGGAGGCATGATTACCCACTTCCAGGGTTTGCTGCACTTAGGCCATTAACCTGGAATCACCAGGGAAGCTCTGTAACTGCATCTTCAGCAAAGATGACAAAACATGGTGACATCACACAGGTCTAGTGCTCCAGATGGTTTCAAAAGGTTTTGGATCTTTTGAAGGCACCTTGAGTTACTTTCTGTGAATCTGCTATCAAAGCATTTATGAAAAATGGCCTTGTACAGAAGGTTTAAATGAACTCATAGAAGCTTCATTTTTGAAGAAATGATTTGCAAGTTTTCACCACTAATAGATAGTAGAACTCTATGTGGTCATTCCTGTTATTTGTGCTTCCAGCTAATACTTGTCCTTTACGTACCATTCTTGGTACGTAAGCTTGGGAAGTTTTGCCCATATATTTGTCTCACTAAATAATTACATAAACAAAAGCCCATTCCCTTTGGTTAGAATACATTAGCTGCATACAGATTGTTTGCTGTACCCTGAAAGTGCTGCTGCTGAAATGACAAATAACCACCTTTCAGTTAATAAACCTTAGCTCATAGGAAAACTTCCTAAAATAAAAAACAAAACAAAATGTATCCAAAGTAGAAATGGCTTAACAGTTATGGAAAACAAACCAGAAAAATGCTTCAAAACCCACCTACCATCAGCAAAAGTAAAAAAAATAATAAAAAATTTAAAAAAGCTGAAGGGCTTATTTTTGACTCCAGCATACAAGACATGTTAAAGATACAAGTCTGCACTGCAAGATATGGATCTAGTAATTTTATTTTTAAGTAGCTTTTTATAGATAGGCAGCATATTTTCTATTTCCCGATGCTTAAAACAGCTGCATTTAAGCAGGATGGAGACTAGAGATGCTTGGTCACGCAGGATCATGTTTCCTCTGGACTATCCATCTTCTATGAGTCGGGCTATTTTGGAGCTATTGGCTTTGTACTGTAGTTCTCAATTATTTTTATACAAGACAGCAGATGATTTAAAAGCAGCTGAAAATAGTCATGCGGCTCATATGCTGTGGGGCAGATTGTGCCTTCTGGCACTTCACTTCCACAGAGGCAGGGGGACAGGGCATTAAGGGAGCTGGTGCGAACTGCTCCAGCCAGCCTGCTGGTTGGCATTTTGTCTGCTTAGTTACAGAGCTCCATACTAGATAGAAACACGTCAAATAATTGCTCCCACGATCTGAAAACATGGAACAGCGCACCATGCCCTATTTGCTCAACTATTCATCGTGGCTGATGTTAAAGGAGGCAGCGAGAAAACTAAATTCTATTTTTAAAGCTTCTTTGGTCAAGAAAACCATTTTTCAAAGGAAGGATTTCTCCAAGAAAGCAGAATATTCCTGCAGTTAAGGCCTTATAAGGATCAAGG